ATGAGGAAATATATGACTTGTCTTTTTGAGTCTAGCTTAGTGTGCCCAAGCAGGTACTCGCCCTTCCCTCTGTTTCCCAGCAAGTGACTTGGTTGTGTTCCTATATCTGAGGCACCTCAGGCCCCATCCAGCCCTGATGAATCTGACTCCTCTGAGTCATACCAGAATATGTTCAGGGTTCACCAGGGCTTGTGACCTGCTTGTGGGGTTTGTTGTTTGGTTCATTTGTTTGCCTGCACTAGGGGTTGAACTCAGAGCTTTGAGTTCAGTGGGGCATGCCTATAACGCCAGCTTTTTTGCTCTTGGCTGATGCTCTACCACTTGAGCCATCCTTTAGTGAATCTTTTAGTCAGCTTTTTGCTGGTTAATTGGAGATTGAGTATCAAGGAATTCTCTGCCCAGGCTGCCTTCGAACATGTATACTCAGATCTCAGCCTCCTGATTAGCTAGGATTACAGGCATGAGCCATTGACACTTATACTTTGACATTTGCTTTTTGTAATATTTTGTGTTTTCAGTTTGCAAATCTTTTGCCCATTTTGTTTATTCCCAGTACCAGATTTTTTTTTGTCAGTTGTGGGGCTTGAACTCAGGTCCTCAATGACAGCCTCTTTATGCTCAAGGCTAGCCCTCTACCTCTTGAGCCACAGTACCACTTCCTGTTAATTGGAGATAAGAATCTCATGGGGACTTTTCTATCCAAGCTGTCTTTGAACCATGATCCTCAAATCTCAGCCTCCTGAGTAGCTAGGATTACAGGCATGACCACTGGCTCCTGGCTCAGATTTTTATTTTATTTTATTTGTTTATTTATGTATTTATTTATTTTGCCAGTCGTGGGGCTTGAACTCTGGGCCTGGACACTGTCCCTCATATCTTCAGTTCAAGGCTAGCACCCTACCACTTGAGCCATAGTACCACTTCTGGCTTTTTCTGCTTATGTGGTGCTGGGGAATTGAACCCAAGGGCTTCCAGCATGCAAGGCAAGCACTCTACCACTGAGCCACCTTCCCAGCCCTCAGATTTTTTTTTATGCTACTGTAAATAGAATTATTTTGTAATTTTTTGAGGGTTGTTAATTGTATCTTGGCCACTGTTGATCATACCCCAAAACTGCTGAATTTATTTATTAACTCTACATTGTGTATACTTGAAGTCCTCAGGCTTTCCTATGCACAAGACTGTGCTGTCTGAAAATACAGGTCATTTTATTTCTTCCTTTCTGATCTGAATGTGTTTTATTTGCTTTCCTTATCTGCTCTGGCTGGCACTTCTAGTCACATGCTGAATAGAAGTGATGAGCAGACATCCCTGTCTCATTCCTGATTTAAGAGTGAAACTTTTCCGGGCTGGGAAGGTGGCTCAGTGGTAGAGCTCTTGCCTTGCATGCCTGAGGCCCTGGGTTCGATTCCTTAGCACCACATAAGCAGAAAAAAAAAGCTGGAAGTGGCGCTGTGGCTCAAGTGGTAGAGCGCTAGCCTTGAGCTGAAGAGCTGAGGGACAGGGCCCAGGCCCAGAGTTCAGACCCCATGACCGGACCCCCCCTCCAAAAAAAAAAAAAGAGTGAAACTTTTCCTTCTGTCTCCTGAGCATGCTGTTGGCTGTGGGCTTCTCATGAGTGGTCTGCATCATGCTGGGATAGTTTCCTAGCTTTTACCATGGTAGGATGTTGAGTCTTGTCAAATTCCTTATCAGTATTGAGATGACCCTTATGTAGGGTTTCCCCTTCGTTCAGGTCATGTGAGGCAGTACACTCATTTCACTATGTGTGTTGAACCATCTTTGCATTCCAGTGGTAAGTCCCACTGGCTTGTGGTTTAGCATCTCTTTACTGAGCCAATGAACTCCATTTGCTGATATTTTATTCAAGATTTTAGCATCAATGAACTGGGCTCTATGGGGTGTGCCTGTAGCCCCTGATACTTGGTCTGCTAAGGCAGGAAGATCACTTGAACCCAGCCTGAGCAATGTAATGAGGCCCCCATCTCCAAATGTTTTGCATCAGTACCCAAGAGGGAGATTACACCATTCTCTCTTCTTGTTATATCATTGGCTGGTTCTGGTGTCGTGGCAGCACCAGCCTCTCTTCAGCACTAGGGCTCCAGCTTCTCCCTCTATAAGATGGGGACAGTGAGGGGACCACTCTGAAGCTCTGCAGATCAGAGTGGTCTGGCAGGGCCCCAACCACAGGAAGCTCTCCACATGGGCTAGATGCTAATAATAAGTAAAGTAGAATGGCAGCAGACAGCTAGACACTGAGGGCAGGTGTCGCACTTGCTCTTCAAGAACAGTGGAATCACAACGGCAGACACAAAAACAATTGCCTCAGCAATGCAAATTTTCTTGCTAGAAAGCTGGCGAGCACGCACACAGAGCAAACCGGCTGCTCCCTAAGACAGCAGGCCCCACCATTCTGCGGGGATTGGTCGAGCTCAGGTTCATAGTCTGCTTGCAGTTGGCTGGTTTGAAGAGGTAAAATGTATTTTACACAAGGTGACCTTTAACAGACTTTGAAATAAGATTAGCAATACACAGAAATCTCAAAATGTACCCTTATCCTCTGTTATTTCTTGAGCAATCTGAGTTGTGTCTTCTGAGGTGTGCCTTAATTCCATCTTGAAACAACAGTGAAGACAAAACCTTCCGTTCCAAAAACCCTTCCTTATCCCAAAGCATTCCTCTTTTCCTTTCTTGTTTGCATCATCTACACAGAGTGATAACAACAGTCTTTTAAGCAACCCACTTAGGTTAAAACGATGGTGTATTAGCAGCCACTCAGCCCCCATGCCGTGGAGTCACCAAGAATACAAGGCTCGCAGCTCTCTTGCTTGCCTAACAATGCTGACTGCTCTGGGCCTGCTTTGTGGAGTCATGCAACCTTGTTCCTCTTTGCTCTGAGGTTCTAACCACAGCCTGGCGGCTTCTGAGGAACAGAAAGCAATGGGGCTAAGGAAAGAAAAGCAAAATCCAACACCCAGAATCGGTCTCTTTTTTTTTTTGGCAGTTGAGTAAGGTTGCCAGAGCACAGAACATCAAAGTCATGGGCATGTGGGCTGCATTGCCTTGCTCGGAGAGCTGATGCTTGTTTCTTAGGATTCATAGGTTTGCAGAAAGTCAAACAGTGGGACAGTGACTCCTACCAGCTGCCTCCTGTGTTGAGGTCTGGTGACCGTCCCGCATGGCCACGGGCTGTTGGGCACCAACACACGATTGAGTGAAAGATGACCAGGACAGCTGTCAGCTTAAAGATGGTCTTGCAGTGGATGGAAGCAGCACACTCTCAGTGGACAGACAGGCATACCGACACAGGTGTGTTTTCCCTGTCCCGGGCCCTGGGCGTGTGGTGTTCTCACCATGCCCAGTGAGAGACCACTGCAGAGCTCTGAGCACATTCCCGATTCATTTGTTAAGGCCAACAGCACCCAGTTCCAGCCAGATGCAGTCATTGCAAGAAGAGACAACAACAAACCATTAGCACTCATGGATGCAAATGTAAAACCTTCAAGTGTTCTGGAAGCTGTGGGGAGCTGGTGTCATTTCTCCCTTAAATTCTGAATAAAATTCACTAAGCCCCTCTGGGCATGGTGCTTTGTTTGTGAAGGTTAGTAATTACTGTTTTCAAACATGTGATCCTTCAGCCTCAGCCACCCATGTGCTGGGATTACAGGCATGCCCCACCACACTCAGCAGATTCAAAGTCTAAACGGAGCCATCTCTCAGACCATCTTCCTCTCCCGGGGCAGGTGTTGGTGGGTTGCATCTTTTTGGACAGTGAGTTATTCGTAATCCCTGTGGTCCTTTTCGTGTCCAAGGGTTCCAAAGGGATGGTCGCTGCTCCCTCCCTGCTTGTGGTAATTTGTGACTTCTCTCTTTCAGAAGGGGAAGCGGGAGGGAGGGAGGAAGAGAGGGAGGGAGGGAAGATGGAAGGAAAGAAGGAGGGAGGGAAGGAGGAGATAAAAAGGAATAGAGGAAGGGAGGGAGGGAGGGAGGGAGAGAGGAAGGGA